AACATTAGTTCATGTATTCTCTCCTTCCAAACCTTTTTCACATACTAACCATTCACACAGTACTTTATCACTCTTTCCAGACTAACTCTATCCCTCTTTCATCTTTTATTCTCTTGGTCTTTTATTGTCAAGGCTAACCCTTCCCCACTTTCTATTATATTTAAAATGACTATGCAACCTTGCTTCGTGGCAGAATGCAACAATCTGAGGCACTCACTTTGTCACCCTTATTTCTACAGTAACCTACCAAACGTAGCCATGAACTTTCACCATGTGATATATGACTGCGTCTTTGCTCACAGAAAAAAACTGTACTTGCAGTACAGTAGCATGCTGAGAAAAGACAGTTTACGGATGATTTCTTAAACATCCAAAAATGTTCTAGAAATTTATTTAACTGCGTGTTTCCATGCAGGCCAGAACAACAATAAGGATATATTTGTTTTGTGTGAATGTGTGTTTATCAATTACTGGTTTAATTCACCAGCTTATCTGCCACAAACACACCAAATAACCTGAACTTTTAGGTTTGATTACATTAGTTCTTTTTCTTTAACTGGGGTATTTTTTAAAACTAACACACTCTGGTCACGATTGACCTTGTGTTTTTTAGGCATGAAAATCTACTAAGTCATATGTGTTTTGAAGAGAAGCTATGAAACCAAGTAGATGGCACAATGTTGGTCACAGGGAACTTAATGTCTGCTGATGCAAACTACAGGTGTTTACAGCAACTTGCTGTTGGAAACTCAAGTGTGAGATCAAAACATTTCATACTTGAGGATTTTTTTTGGAAGATTACATAAAATGTAATATTATGTTCTAAAATGCTTCATAAAGATCAATCATGGCATGCATTTTGCACAATTCTTTACACCCCCATTAATTCACTTTATACTGAGCTACCATTCACTATTTCATGGTGAAAGATTACATCATTTATTATAGGAATAATGCAAAAGAAAAAAGTTGTTTGTGGTCTATATCATTTCAATTATGTTATACAGCTATTATGTCCCAGAGCCAACATAAAAGTACCTCACTTAAAAGATAGAAAAATGCTGAGCTGGGCAGTAAACCAGTTCATACCCAAAACTGTTTTTTTTTTTTTTTT